GGACAAAGAATATTTAAAATATGTCTCTTTCGAGGGTATTGAGTCTGTAATTGTTGTTTTTACTGGTTTTTCTCCTTGGGTTTTACTGTAATATTGAGTCTCTTTCGAGGGTATTTCTTATGAAGTAATTGTTGTTTTTACTGGTTTTTTCTTTGGTCAACAATTTGTTGTTTTTACTAGAAATATCATTTTGTCTCCGCCTATACTCCCGCGTATACGGCTAGGCGCTAGGCCTCCTTTTGCCGCCTAGCGCCTAGCGCGTTTTAGAACACTGCTTTAAACGATTTGCTCAATCTCTACATAACTTGCTCTCCAAGTTCATAATATTAATCATATAGTTAAATTAAAAGCTGAATTTCTGAATTAGCATGCACAAAACTAACTCATTTCCTATTATTTCTAATATAGAGGAGCACTTGTTGTTTCTGAGGTCAAACTCTTTGGTGGAGAAGAATCAAAACGGTATCGATCATCTAGCTCTTCAAAGCATCTTACCTAGAGATGTTAAACGAGTTCGTTTAAACCCGTTTATTAACTAAATATAAACGAATTTAAACGGGCTTGCACTTTTAGGCCCGATTATTAAATGGGCGCTTAGACCCGTTTGTTTTTTATTTTTTTAAAAATTTTGTATAACTTTATATATAAAATATGAAGTTTATTATGTTATATATAAATCATTCAAAACATTAGTTTAAAGAGAACTTATTCGTTTAATAAATATTTATAACTCTTATTTTTCGTTTTTGAATATTTTTGTGTTAAAAAAAGTTTAAAAAACAAAAAAAAAGAGTGTATGTATATATACACTGGTTTTATAAATTTGGGAATGTTATATATGCTGATATGCATGGGTTTCATAAATTTGAGAATATTTTGTCACAAAACATTATAAAGTATTGTAAATTTACTTAAGGAAATAAATGTAAATTTATTTAAAGAAAGATTTTGTTATGGTTAATTTAAGTTTTAAATATAAAATTCTTATAGAACTTTGCCATGTCATATTTTTTTTTGTACAGAGTGATTAATTGTTGAGATGACACACAAGCAAATTTTCACAAATCAATTCGCAAAAAATATATAAGAGATTATACGATTGAATTATGC